GTGGATATTGGGGTCCCTGGGGCAGATATTGGGGTCCCTAGGGCAGATATCAGGGTCCCTGGGGCAGATATTGGGGTCCCTGGGGCGGATATCAGGATCCCTACGGAGGATATTGGGGTCCCTGGGGGCCGGGTGGGTGCCCCCAGGGTGCCACGGGGCCGGCGGTCCCCACAGAGCTGCCGCCTGACGAGCGTCGCGCGGTGCGGGACGGGGCGCTGGTGCTGACACACCTGGAGCCCAACGACACGGCGGTGACGCAGTGCGAGGCGCACAACCGCCACGGCCGCCTGCTCGCCAACGCCTACATCTACGTGGTCGGTGGGTACCGCCGGCCGGCGCCGCCGCTACACCCGCACCCACACACACACACCCGCGGCAACGGAATCGCCGCGGCAGCGGCAACCACCCTTGCGGAGCCGGTGACACCCCCCGGCAGCCTCAGGCAGCCCCCACGGGAACAGCCGCGGCGGCGAGGGTGTTTTCTACCCGCCGCCGCCTGTTGTGTCCGCTTGGCGACCGCATCCTGTGTGGAAACCGTCCCGGGGGTAACAGCATCTCCCTGGCAACCCCGCTCCCCGCCGGAGCAACTGCATCCCCGCGGCGACCGCGCCCCTTGGCAACCGTCCCCGCGGCGACCGCATCCCTTGGCAACCGGCCCGCGGGCAACCGCGTCCCCGCCCGGCAACCATCCCCCCGGCAGCCTCCTAGCGACCATCTCCATGGCAACAGGGACCACCCCCCTCGTGGTGGACACCCCAGGGATCTCCCCATCACCGTGGCAACCAGGCAGGGGGTTTCCCCCTTGCCCGGCCATTGCCACGGCAACCCATCCCCGGGGAAGGTTGCCGTGGCAACCAGCCCCCCCTTGCAATAGATAGCTGCTCCCCACTGGGCTGCTGTTGCCATGGAGATGCCCCCTTAGCAACCACCTCCACGGCAACCGTTGGTACCTGTTGCCAAGGCGATGCCTCTCCCTCCTGAGGGGAGGGGGCGTTTGGGGGGTGATTTGGAGGGGGAATCGGGGGGTGTTGGGGGGAATCGGGGGATGTTGGGGGGCGTTGGGGACCCCCCAACGCCCCCCGCACACACAGAGCTGCCGGTGAAGATCCTGACGGCGGACGAGAGCCGCTACGCCGTGGTGGAGAACGGCACGGTGTTCCTGCACTGCCGCGCCTTCGGGGCGCCCGCGCCCGCCGTCGAGTGGTGAGCGCCCCCCCC